TTTGACCCATATAGAACTTGGTACCTGACAATCTAGAGAAGCAAAGATTCCAATTTTATAAACAGAAAAAGAATTAAAAAAAAAAAAAAAAAAGCTTAACAGTCATCCCCATGTACAATTCCATTTCCTCCTACTTATGACTCAATGTTTGGCTTCAATCTTAGTGAGGCCTATTCAAGTTCAGTTGAAGAGGAAGCAGAAAAGACAAGGATTCAAGCAGATCTTACTATCGTATGAAAAACAAAAACAGAAACGAAAAACCACTGTTGAATAGATTGTTACTCATAGTAACCGTCCAGGGCAGGATAGCACTGCTCCCTAGGGTTCTAAGACTAAATCTTTACAGGAGCAGACACCCTCTTTTTTCTCCAATGGAACAGCCAATCTTGTAGTTAGTTAGTAGCCCAACCACACTGCCCCAGTCTCAGAAACCTGTATGTTATTCTCTCAAGAAAGCACCTTGACAGTAGCTAGTACCCGTGCACAGAGGACAATATCCCAGCCTCAATCCCTGATCCAAAACATGTGCCATTCTAACCCAGCTTGTAAACTGTAGCTCACATACAACCATAGCGCCTAATTACAGCTCTTCACTAGCTGTGCAAACACCAGACAGTTAACTAGCCTTAATTCGAAGGAGCTCTGGTAGCGTAGTGGTTACGAATCGGGCTGCGAACCTTAAGGTCAGCGGTTCGAAACTACCAGCCGCTCCGCGGGAGAAAGATGAGATGAGGCTTTCTACTCCCGTAAAGATTTACACCCTCGGAAACCCTGTACAGGGTCGCTATGGGTCGGAACCGACTCAACGGCACTTAACAACATAACAACAACAGGAAAATATTAAAAGATCTAACACATGGATCAGGAGAAAGATGAGGCTTTCTGCTCCCAAGACAATTTAAAAGCCTCAGGAATGCTACACAGGGTTGCAATAAATCAGAACTGACTCGACAGAACTTAACAACAGCAGCAACAACAAAATATAGATACATCTTTGAATTTTCAGAAGAGACAAAAAAGGGATTGTAGTAGGAAAATATTTGAATAATGACCAAAACTTCCCAAGTTGTGTAATAAAAACATACATTACAGATTTAAGAAGTTCAACAAACCCCAAAGACAAATTCATAAAACACTATGCCTAGAAGATACATCATATTAAAATTAATTAAAACAGAAGATACAAAACAAAATCTTGAAAGTTGTCAGACAAAATGAAACATTACATACTGGGAATAGCAATTCACATGATAAGGAATTTTCCCATTAGGTAAAAACCAAACTGTTAACCCAAATTCAAAGTCAGGCAAAATAAAGTCATTCTCAAATAAAGAAAAGCTAAAAGAATTTGTCACCATGAGACTTGCTGTGTAAGAAATGCTAAAGGAAGTTTTTCATGCTGACAAAAGGAAAACTTGAACCTTTACGAGAGAAAGAAACAACAGGTAATAGGTAAATATAATACTATATTTTAGATTATGTACAACAAGGTAAGTTACTTAAAATATTTAGGACTGCTTAAAGCAAAAAGTAGAGCATATGCTAACTCTTAATAAAAAGGTCAGGTTAGGTGAAAAGAAATATGCTCATAAAACTTCTATATTTAATAATTAAATTGTATAATATTAGTTCTAAGTAGACTGTGATATTTTA